AAAAATAAGCATAATTATTAGAGAAAATAACACTTATACTATTGAATCAACTTTTGCAGCCATACATCATTTTCACGCAGCTCACTTCTGAGATTAACCTGCATAAACTAAACATTTGCTCAAACAACACTTTCTACACATCTAAAACCTACAAACAACAAATTATTGAATTCTAGGTACTTAACCAAACATTTTCAAACCACAAGCCTATAAACATACCAATTGTTTATGGACATTTTTATAACGCGGATGCAGGTAGGCAGCGTCTCGTATATATCGATCTAGCCATATAATGTCGAAACCACAAGCCTACTGCAGCTCTATCTATATCGGTGGGAGGTAGATACTTTATACTTCCTGTGATCAAACGGTCCAACGCCAAGCATACGAGAGGACCACAATCCCCTCTGGGTCCTTTCGTTTGTTGTGGTGCGGTCTCGTCTCTGCTAACTGTAATATTTAGCTTCTTTGGCTTCTTGTTTCCAGAACGAGTCCATAATTTATCGCATCCAAGTATTTAGCCAAATAAGAGCTCCATCCCTTAATATATCTCTTAAATCAGCCAATGATATGTAATTTATCATGCTGTCATATACTATTGCCTTAAGGGATGGGATCTGAAGCTCGACGAGAAGCCAATGGTTACGTTCCAAAACAGGGATAAACACCTGCAATCATAAGTAATAATTCATTCATTTGCGCACTTATTTATGAATACCTTTAAACTCAATCTAAAATAAACACTAACCTTATCGACCTCCCACCATGCAGGATAAAGTTTAGCTTGTCCATTGCCCAACGCAAATGATTCATCTCGTTGATTCTTCAAGTGAACTGCGTTAAAAGCCGTCGGCATTATTGTATACCGTGTATTTCTTTTATTTTCCTTAAGTTTCCTAATTATTAGTAGACGTGACACCCACGCATCGATATGCTGTTTTACAAAAAAATACATATATTAGTGAATTACATTAATTTTTAAACAAATTAATCAAATGAAAATATAAGAAAAATATAAGACTTACCCCTCCATCGAAATAGCCATTGTCTTCGACCCCTAATAATACGCCCCACCAAGACCGATCAAGCAACAAATAGATATCATCATTGAGCTTGCATATGTCAGTGAAACACCCCTGGCTTCGCTCATGTAGATAAAAATCAACTGCGGTCTTAGCCCAAAGGGTGTATCCAGAATTGTGTCCGGTAGTTGTTTCCTCTCCTCTTCAGATACCGGTATGGTACTGGCCGGTAACTCATACGAGAGCCAACTTGAATCCATCATGTCCGGCACGTCAGAGGGTTTCTCAAGAATCCTATATATGACGCCATGTGAATCGGGCTCTTGAATGGTGGGAGGGACCTCTTCAACGATGACAGTGGCCTCTTGAACGGTGGGAGGGGACTCTCGAGGAATGATAGGGGCCTCTTCAACGATAGGAGTGGACTCTTGAGGGATGATAGGCGAGTCGGGCTTCTTCTTGCGGTGTCTTCGCACTATTGGGGTATACGGAGACTTAATAGCACGTGCACGCCGTCTGATGCGTGAACTCTGTCGTGCAAGAAAAACCCGACGTAAAGCATCCACCTTATCGGTCCGCTAAATAAAAATACAATATCAGTAAATAAACGGACATGATATTTAAACAGTGAAAACAAAGATAAATATATTTCAAACTTTCAACCAAAAGACAAAACAAGACAAATACTAACTTCACAGTGTTAAAGTAAAAAGTTTAGCAGTTTTGGCAGCAACCGAATAAATTTACTAAGCAATCTAAGTGAAATGGTTAATTTAAGTGAAATTACGAGTAAATTTATCATCAAGTTAAATATGGAAAATCTTAAACTTACCTCGTTGCGTAGAGTATGAACCTCATTCTGCAACGATACTACCATCTCACGTAGAGCGGCAACCTCACCACGTAAGTAGACACCTCCACACGCCATGCACCATCGTTATCGCGTAGAGTACCGATCTCCTCACGCAAGGCATTGACCTCATCACGTAACTCCCTTGACTCATCCCGTGGAGGTGGAGAACAGGGAGATAGAAGTCGTGGCATCTTTGTCGGTCGCCTATCATGAGGTGATGGTGGAGAAGAGACTCGATGATAGACGGGATAGGTGATGGCTCTCGTTGTAGAGGTGTATAGTCGGGTCGATCAGGTGATGGCTCTGGGTGAGGTGATGGCTCTCGAAGTGGAGGAAGTGGAGGCTGCTCATCATTCGTGCCATCAAAAAATGCTGACTAGCTTGCCACCAATCAGTGGCAAGCTCAGCCTCCGTGGGTGTCAGTCTCATTAATGGAGTGTTGGCCTCCTAAAAATATAAAAACTAAACAAAGTTAAACGTCTACTATTAATAACTTGTTTATATATGATAGTATTTGTGTTAACTTACATTATTTATTGTCGCATATGGTATTAAGTCTTCCCAATCCAACATACGTTTCCTCTTCCAGGAAATAGCCCTAGGAATATCATCTGAGGATTTTAATGCATATGTCCGCATGTTGGGGAAAGCCTCGAATATCCAAATCTACAAACAATATAATAACAAACATTAGTAATTGTTAAATAATTAATTATAATTTTGAAAACATTATATAGAAATTCTTACCTTAAAGGCCCAAACAAAGCCTGACAAAGTGTATTTCGACCCATCGCCCCGCAAACTTTTGCGGTCATCAAAGGCAGACGACAACTTAGTCCAGGTAGCTTTCCATATATACGAACCCCACGGAAACAGATTCCATGCATTTAGGTCCTCTACCAATAATATTAGCTCCTGAGGAATAGGTTGTCTGGCCTCTCTGCCTAGAAAGCCGGCATACAAAAGTAGTAGAAGGCATACTCGAACAACATCGACGTTATTCATCCGAGTAAAACCATCTTTCTTATTAAACAATTTCTTCATGTCGTCGACGTGTAAGTTCGGCTTCTCTATTGACTCATCAGGAAAACCCTGGATAACCATGATGGGCGGGTGATATGACGAGTGTACCGGCTTACATCATCGTGTCCGAATCGTAGACCAGTGATTAAGCAGAACTCCTTCCGCCCAAAACAAGTATACGCCGGTGGAAAATGAAACCATATCTCTTCCTCACCTCGTTGTATACTGTCGGGTAGATCGCTAGTCATGGTCTGAAGCCACAAATGGGTCAAACTAGCATCTCCACCCGGATGCTGTACTCTCAGCCATGGCCCGAAGCAGGTTTCTTCAAACAATTTTCTTTGTGCAGGTGAAAGCTTCGAAGCAATTGTAGTGGCTAGGCTAACTTTATTCCTTAATGTCAATGAAGCCGAAAAAAATTTCTACAAAAAACAATAAACATACCAAGTTAGATATACCAAAAATTACACTGTCAAGATATACCAAAAACAAAACAATAAACATAAATAGTAGTTTATTCTTGAAACTAAAATTTGCAACACTGTTTTTGTCTTTTGGTTGAAATGAAAATCGCAACGAGATAATGAGAATCGCAACGCGGAAATGACTATCGCAACGAGAGAATCGCAACGCGAAATGACTATCGCGACCAGACAATCGCAACGCAAAATGAAAATCGCAACCGCGAAATAAAATCGCAACGCGAAATGAAATCGCAACGCGAAATGAAAATCGCAATGCGATTTTGGTTTCGCGTTGCGATTTTTATTTCGCGTTGCGATAGTTATTTCCGTGTTGTGATTTTCATTCTCGAAACTATTCTTCTTCTGCATTACTTCAACCAAAAGACAAAGCAAAGACAAATACTAACTTCACAGGCTAAACAGTTTAGCAGTATTGGCAGCAATCGAATGAATTTAATAAGAAATCTAAGTGAAATGGTTAATCTATTATTGAAATTACCAGTAAACTTATCATCAATCTCAATATGAAAACCTAAAATAATGCAAATATTTCAAATAAAAAAAAAAAACTAACCCTCGGAGGTTGATTTTCCATTTCTGAATGATTGTGAGGGATTTTTGACTGTGAATGGTTGTGAGGGATTTCGCCGGCGATGGGGACGGAAATCTTCGGAGATGGGTACGGATTTCGTCGTAGAGAGTGAGAGATGGAGATGGGACTGAGTGTTGTGTTTTTGGGTTTGAGGTTATGAGTTGCGATTACTGTGGACGGTTCATTTTCCGATTTATTAAGAAAAAATACGTGTTTGGAATTTGAAAAAAAATATACGCGTTAATACGAATGGCGCTATGTAAATCGCGTTGCGAAAGTCAGTATCGCGTTGCGAAAGTAAGTATCTCGTTGCGATTTTGTATTATCGCATTGCGATAGTAAGTATCGCATTGCGATTTTCCCAATTCGCGTTGCGATTTACTTATTCGCATTGCGATTTTCCCAATTCGCATTGCGATTTACTTATTCGCATTGCAAATTGGGAAAATCGCAACGATACTGTAGACCATCGCAACGCGATTTTCAACTATCGCATTGCGAAAATGCAACGCGAATTTGCGATAATGGAGATCGCGTTGCGAATTAGCGATCGCATTGCGATTTTGTTGGTCATTTTGGCAAATCCGGAAAAAGTTGGTTAAAATCGTATATTATATGGGATTTTTGGTCACTGAGGTTATTTTCTCTTATTAAAAACCCTTTTTAATTGCTAATATAAACATTTAATTTAATTATTAAAAATCTTGCAGTTGTATAAATTAATAAGTTTAAGATTGGTCCTTAAAAATTTTAAATTTTTATATATTTAAATATTTTTTATTGATGATATATTTTTGTTCTTAAAATTTTATAAAACATAAAATAACTCCGTAAAAGTTAAATTTCCTTTGTATAATTGAAGGCAACAAATACAAATGTGGTCTCAACTTGCACAGCTTTTTTTTTTTATATGATTTGCCCTCAAAAGTCAAGACCCATGTTGGGATTTATATTCACAAGTGTTGATTTAGTAAGCTCAGGTGTTTGCCAATTGGGTGGCCTCACTGCTGTTCATCGACACTCTCTACTTGCCCATGTCACTTTCTTTATTTCGTTTCGGCAGTTCGGATGGGTGGTGGCTGTGATCCGCAACCGCCTAGTGCGGCAGCAGCAGATTCAACATGTGTTAGAAGATATTCGTATATTTTCTTCCTCAACAGGTCAATTGTTTCGGATGAAACATGGGGTGTCATCTCTCCTCCTCCTTCGTCTTTGCTCGAACTGATTTCATCTAACCAGTAGTGACACTCTTCAGCTGTGTTAACATCCCAGCTATTTGATCATTGTCGGATAAAGTGGATGTGTCGACGTTGGTATCCAAGAATTTCTCCACAAATCCTAAGAACCAATCCATGGGATTCCATTCGCAGCATTTCAGCCAAGTCAACCGCCTCATCAACGCCATTTCCCCTTGTCCATCCCGGTGGTGGTTCGACCGGTACTTTCGGACAAAGGCCTGAAACATCCCCTGCTTTTCGAAGGATACCTTGTGCTACAAGCTTAGAACCAATTACTGGACGGGGTTTTGCTTGAGCTTTTGCAGAAGGATTCTTTGCAGAATTTTCTAGAATTAAAATGTTTTGATTGGCAGGTAGCCTTCTGGTTTGAGCAGAAGCTGTAGCATGACCTGACATTGAATTATGTTCTTTGGTAAATACGGAGAAGGTTGATAGATTGGTAGCCAGTGCAGCTTGCACCCATGAAGCTGCGTATTTCCGTCTATCCGATGTGACCTTCACTGCCTCTTCTAATGGGTTTCCTTCAGATTCCGGAGACGAACCGATTGGTATAGTTTTCGATAAAGAATCTGCAATCATCCGAGCATGATTCAAGCTTGCATGCAGGGTTAAGAACTGATCCACTGCAGGCTGAGGTTTATCTTCCTTGGCAGAAGCAGTAAGATCAGATTATAAGCTGCAAGAAAGAGATGGTATACCAAAAATGTCATAGATGAGAGCATAAAACAATTCAGTACATCAAATACGACCGAAATACCCAGAATCAGTGCACAACATGTTACGTAACCTAAATCCCTGGCGAGGTTTCTATGGGTGTCTCAACATGCACCATCCTGAATGTCTTTCACCAGGTCCAAATGTATAATTTTCCTCGAGACTGTCGGGGTAAAGCTTCATAATTTAGTTCTCAATTGTCCCGTTGAGATGCGATACGTGCCTATTATGGACTTTAACTGTGCCAATGACAGACTAAATACTTTGTTTTTCTTCACACTTATGAAAGCAAGAAATTTTGCTGCTATGACCGGAGAAGACCCTCGATTCTCAACTGGTTCCAACCCCATGAAGCCAAGATAAGAGTTGCTAATGTAAGATTGCTAAGCAATCAAACTAGAATATTAAGACTGAATGGAGAAACCAAATAATTAGATACTGAATTTATCTTATCTAGTACTTAGATCAAAGACAACCGGAAACAAAAGAGAAATAATTGTTCATGGAAAGTGTATAACGTAAAATTTTCCCGTGTATAACGTAAAATTTTCCCGTGAACTCCATAAATTTTCTCATGAAGTAATACTAACATGATGGACAGTATTGTAGTTGCGACATTCTACAGGTTAAAGTTACAAACATAAGTTAACACATACAGATTGTTCACAATTGTATAATTTATAGGTTCTAAAAGTTGTGTACAATATTCAAAAGTTTAACCAGGGAAATACGGAGAATCAAAATCCATACATTAAATGTATTTGATCTTAGTTTTGAAACTAAGAAAACTTAGCTTTCACTGCAAATTTCTATAATTTTCTTTGCTAATATTTTCTTTATCGTTAAATAGCCCTACCTTAAACATCGTAATAAGCTCTCTGAAGCAGCAGCCTCTTGCAACGCTTCTATTGCCGCTGTTTGTGCTGCATCCCTATGTGTCAAGACCTCCTGTAACAAAAAAGAAAAAAAAAGAACATAAATTTGGCATGAGAATCACAAACGAACTGTGTTGCAAAATGCTAGGAAGTGACGTATATAAGTTAGTTTTAGTTAACTTTGAACTTGGTATTTTTTCTTCACTAGGAATTTGCTAATAGGAGATACAACCTTTTTACGACAAGATGGCCCTTAAAAGAGACTTTCCTACAAAAACTATGAATGTTATCACGATGTAAAGAGTCATGGGTTCATACCCTTCCGAGCTTTGAAAGAGAATACGGGAGTGAACCCCATGAAACACATGCATCTGTCAATCTTTTACTATTTATTGGAATCTTAATCAAGTTCCACAGGCCACCATTATTAGTCAGGTCTCCGGATTTCTTCCCAATGTAAGTTCTTGTCATTCCTCGGTTTCTCCAGCTCATCCAACATTTTCTTGGTTGAAACCGGAGATTTACTCTCCTCTTTTAGTGACCTAGTAGATGTTTGGAGCTTAGTGTCACGAAATTGAGCTTTTTCCCACGCCTTGGGCTATTTTGGGCCACACTTGGTCTTGAAGACTTAATATAATAGTGTAGATTACTCTAGAACCTCCAAGGCTTGTACATATGTAGAGTATTCTAGAACATACTTGGAGCATGTAGAGACTTGTAGAGAGTATTCTAGAGATTCTCTAAAGTATTCCAATTTTGGTAGAAAATTATGGAGAATTCTAGAGAATCTCTCCCAACCGTAGGATCAAGTCAATCTCCACCGTCCATTGAGGAAGTAGGATGGTATAAATAGGTGTAGGATTCTCATTTGCAAATCATCCAAGAACTAAGTGTAGCATTCAAGCATATTAATAAACAAACTTTCCCATAAAGTGTTTTTACTTGTCTTCTTCGTTTCCTTGCCAACACTTTCACACACTAGCACGAGTTTGAGTGAGGCTGACTTAGCTATCGTGAGGGGCGGAAAGGAGCTAAGGCCGCACGAGGCTTATTGAGAGATTAAGTCCATGACAAGTGGTATCAGAGCCAGGTTAGGACATCAATATCGTGCACATGTCTTGTAGGTATGGTCGAGAACCCGAACGAGTCAACTTTTACTGAGGAACTAGGAGAGAAGTTGCACCCACCAACACGAGGAAGAAGAGGGACCAGAGTAAGGCCCGCGAGGGAGCTTCCTTAGAACCAGTGGTGGCAGAGTTCGGCGAGAGGGTCCATCACGACTCCAAGACGCTGGAGGACCATGTCTTGGAGCAGGTTGACGCGCTCAAGGGGAGTGCCGAAGAGACCAGTAACGAGGTGGAAGCTTGGTTCGTATGTCTAGAGGATATGATCCAAGCCTTATGTGAAAGCATCGAGGGGATGTGGGAGGACTTGACGCTTTGCAAGCGGGACGTTGTTAGCGGGGGTGTTAACATCACCGTCTCCACCCCGAGGGTCGAGTGCCCCAAACCGCAAGGGTTCAACGGAGCAAGTGACGCTAAGGAAGTCGAAAACTACCTATGGTAGATGGAGCAATACTTCGAGGGAATCGGCCTTAACGACGTGGCCGCCAAGGTAAAAACCGCTGCCTTATATCATTCAGATACTACTATGTTATGGTGGAGTAGGAAACATGCCGACATAGAGCGATGGGCTTATCGGTTAGATACGTGGGATGAGTTTAAGGAAGAATTCAAGAAACACTTTTATCCCGAGAATGTGGTATACGAGGCTCACAAGAAATTACGGGAGTTGAAGCAGCGGGGTACTATGTTGGACTATGTAAAAGAATTCACAACCCTTATACTTCAAATCCCCAATATGTCCGAAGACGATCTCTTGTTCTATTTCATTGACAGACTACAAGGATGAGACAAGCAGGAGATACATCATCGGGACGTTAGAATGGTTGATAAGGACATTGACATCGCCGAGTCAATCATCGACTTCCAACCCTACTCTCACACCAATGCGTCGAAGAATAAGGATAAGTACCCAGCCAAAGGTGGGGGAGAACGGCGAGAGAATAACCAAGGTAACCGAGAATGAGATCACCGAAAGCTATAGGCTAAGGAGGGAGATCGAGATCGACATCGACGTCCAGGCCGAAGGGATTACGAAGAGAAAAAAAAGGCATTCGTTCCTAAAGGAGGATGTTTCTTGTGTAAAGGGCTGCACCCGATGAGCAGTTGTCCCAAACTTGGTTCATTGTCCGCCATCGTCGATCGACAAGAGACTGAGTCTCAAGCAGAGGAGGAACAAGGCGCGATAGGGTCGCTCCAAATTCTAAACGCCTTGAAGGCCAAGCCGTTGACACCAATACCAAGAAATGGGCTCATGTATGTGGAAGCGGTAATTAACGAGAAGCTGACAATAGCTATGGTGGACACGGGGGCTACCCACAACTTCGTGTCTAAAGACGAAGCCAATCGTTTGGGCCTAAAGTACACTATGAGCACATGATGGCTCAAGACGGTAAATGCACAAGCGGTACCACTCTACGGCGTGACACGAGGGGTCGAGCTACGCTTAGGCACTTAGAAGGACCAAGTGAACTTCTCAGTCGTTCCCATGGATGACTTCAAAGTCATTTTGGGGTTGGACTTTCTACGACAAGTAATCGCTATCCTTTAGTTCAGTTTACATCATGGAGAAAGGGTCTCCCTGCATGATCCCCAAGGTCGAGGCACCGAAAGAACAAGGCCGAGACGCCAAACAACTCTCGGTCATGCAACTTGGTAGAGGCATCAAGAAAGAGGACATGACTTATTTGGCTATGCTAAAAAAAGATGACGAGATCGAGAAAACGAATGACCTACCACCGATTATCTGCGAAGTCTTAGAGGAGAACAATGACGTGATGCCGTCCGAGTTACCAAATAAACTTCCACCAAGGCGCGAGGTGGATCACAAGATCGAGCTGGAACCACGTACTAAGTCGTCTGCTCTGACACCCTACCGAATGGTTCCACCCAAACATGAGGAACTTCGAAGGCAACTCAAGGAACTAATTGACACGGGAAAGATTCAACCTTCAAAGGCACCGTATGGCGCACCAATACTCTTTCAGGAGAAGCATGATTGGTCGTTGCGCATGTGTGTCGACTACCGGGCACTTAACAAGGTAACAATTAAGAACCGCTACCCGATCCCTTTGATTGTCAATTTATTTGATAAACTTGGAGGAGCCAAGGTGTACACGAAACTGGACTTGCAAAAAGGCTACTACCAAGTTCAAATTGTCGAATGCGACAAGCCAAAGACCGCATACATCACCTGATCCAGATCGTACGAGTGATTGGTCATGCCTTTTGGTCTAACCAATGCACCGATGACGTTTTGCACGCTCATGAACAATCTCTTCCAACCGTACTTAGACCGATTCATGGTGGTGTACCTGGACGATATCGTGGTATATAGTAACTCTATTGAAGAACATGTAGACCACTTGAAGACTGTGTTCAAGATACTTCGAGAGAACGAGTTATACGTAAAGAAGGAAAAGTGCATGTTTGCCACTGAGGAAGTACACTTCCTTGGACATGTAATCGGTCACGTGAAGTTACTAATGGACGGGAGCAATATCAAGGCCATAACCGAGTGGGAGCCACCGACCAAGGTGAGTGAGCTGAGGTTCTTCCTTGGTCTAGTAAATTATTATCGTCGGTTTATACAGGGTTACTCAACGCGAGCATTACCGTTGATAGATCTACTCAAGAAGGGGAAGATGTGGGAGTGGTCCGAACAATGTCAAAAGGCCTTTGAGGACCTAAAGGCATCAGTTAGCCAAGAACATATCTTGGCCCTACCTGACTTTACCAAACCGTTCGAGGTACATACCGATGCATCCGACTTCGCTATCGGGGGAGTACTAATGCAAGAGGGACGTTCGATAGCATTTGAGAGTCACAAGCTAAATGACATCGAGAGGCGGTACACTGTACAAGAGAAGGAGATGACGAGTATTATACATTGCTTGTGGGTATGAAGACATTACTTACTTGGCACACACTTCACCATCAAGGCCGACAACGTGGCGATGAGTTACTTTCATATTCAGAAGAAGTTGTCACCGAAACAAGCCTGGTGGTAGGACTTCCTAGCCGAGTTCGACTACACGTTGGAATACAATTTGGGCAAAGCCAACGTCATAGCCAATACCTTAAGTCGAAAGACGGAGCTCGCCTCGATCTCTCTAGCCAAGGGAACCATGTTAGAGCACATCAAGGAGGGCCTTGAATAATATCCAATGGCAAGAGAATTGATAAAGATGGCTAGAGAAGGTAAAACCCAACGGTTTTGGGTAGAGGACGGTCTACTCTACACCAATGGACGGCGAATCTATGTCCCAAAGTGGGACAACTTAAGGCGATATCTTATTAAAGAGTGTCCCGACACTAAGTGGGCCGATCATCCAGGCCAAAAGCGCGCTGTGG